AAAATTTTACCACGTCGAACGTCTGGTCAACAGCCCCTACCAACCAGGACGTGCCAGGTGGCAAAGGCGCTGACGCAGAAGGTCACGCGGGGGGAGCCACGTAGGTGATCCACGTGTGTGCGATCGAATGGCTGAGGTTCGTTCCTGCGCACACGGACGGCCCAGAGTGAATCGCGCACGGATGGCTCAGATTGGATCGCAATGAACGGTCCAGAATCTCTCCCTATTTAATCGCGATGGGATGGTCCATATCAAAAGAGGATGAATATAAATAACCCCATCCGTACCCAAACCCTAACCCTAGCCACCAGAACCCCTCACCGGAGAAGACAACTTAGCCGCCGCCACCCACCGCCGCACTGAGACCTTTTCCGACCGCCAAAAAAGGTAAAAAAAAATTTTTTTGCATGAAATTCAATTTTAAACCCACCCATGGTCAAATCGGAGTGAAAAAATCGGCCAATTGACTGGAAAACATCGATGAAACCCGACGCCGCCGCCAAGAAGAATTTCACAAACCGCCTCCGATGAGACCCTTCCCAATTCCCGTTTCACGTAATTTTTCCACCGTTGTGATCACTGTTTTCTTCTCTACAGGTTGACCGAAGCAAAACACTCAACTGCAATGTGAGCCGGAGGAGCCGCCGCACCAGAGAGCCCCGCCACTGGTGAGTTTCGATTTTTCGTATTTTTTTGGCCCACCGAGGCCCTTTAACGTGTGTGCTCGCAGGAATCGATGTAAAATCGACCAAAAATGACCGACCCGAGGCGGACCACCATTGCCGGAGCACGGCGGAGCTACCGTGCCGGATTTTCAAAATTGGCTGAGTAGGCTCTGGGACTTATTTTGGGTTTGTTTAGAACATTTATAGCTACTATAAGCGTATTTCAGTTCTCATAGAATAATTCAGGGAACTCAGGGACCGCCCATAGGCGCAGTAAATCGTTTAGCTTTTCAGCATCAAATCGAGTAAGGATCCCTCACCATATTCCTTATCGTAGAGTTGAAGTCTAAATAAATGGTAATATAGTATTTTGTACAAATTAAATAAACGTGTATAATTAATTACAAAGTGCTAATGGAGTTCGAACCGAAAATTATTCTCTGTTGATTTATTTTACTGTCTAAAAGTATGATAATATATGATTTATCTATTTTATGGTTTGAATGCATGTATTACTGTTTTACATAACTATTGTTTGATTTGGGATTGAGATGTGATTACATTACTTGATACATGCTTATTTGCTCATATGATTATGTTTGATTTAGAAATGAGACTAAAGGAAAACGGGAAAGCTATATGATTAAATGAATAGATGAAACAACAGCCTTACTGGATATTCTAGGAGATGGTGGACGGACCGGGTACATAAGAAACCCTACCGTGGCCGTTGTCTTATACCGGAGGGGGTATGGAGACTTGATAAATTGGCGCTCATATCGAGCGGGGTATGGGGACGACCCGCTTCACCCTCATACCGGACGGGGTATTGAGGTTTAAATATTTTGGCGCTCATACGGGATGGGGTATGGAGACGGCCCTGTAATTGAGGTTGTTAAAGGAAAGAGTTCACGTATAGTAGGGACATCCCTATGAACTCCCATTGATAGTAGTAGGTTGGTGAAGAGAAAAACAGTTATGATTGAGTTTATTGTTGATGAATATGGATTTATGATATGTTCTATGTTACTGATTATTCACGAAGTTATGATCTGTACGGTATTATTGTCTTTATAAATTATTTTCAGAAATTCCACTATGGTAAGTAAACGAGAAATGATTTTATGATTGATAAACGAATTTACTAAATTTAATGCTCCATTAGTGGTTTTCGATTTTATACCAACCTTTACTTCTATGTTGGTGATATAATATGACCTTACTGGGCTAGTGTAGCTCATCCTTATTCTAACCATTTTCAGATCAAAAGGACCAGGTTCCAGAGTCCGATCCGCAAGAAGATTGCGAGTAGATGCTAGATGTTTTCTATTTACCGTTTTATTTCCTTATTCCTGTGTTTCTTTCAAGGATGAATTCTGTAATGTTGCTTACTACTTTTAGTTATTGTGTAAGGAATGTAAACCTTAACATTTTATTTCGCTTCCGCACTTAAATTATTATATATTTTCTTTTGGAGATTTTCGGGGTCGTTACACTAACTCTACTAGTAAGTGACATAGCTTCCCAAAGACAATCCTATATGGAGACATACTAATAGGAGTTTTAAATGCAGTCCTATATGTGCATAAAACATCATCAAGTTTCAATGCCCAATCATTTTTAGTGTGTGCAACAATTTTCTCAAGAATCCTTTTTAATTCTCTATTCGAGATTTCCACTTGGCCATTAGTTTGAAGATGATAAGATGTAGCTAATTTATGCTTCACGCCATAACTTCTTCATTCTTCATGTCACTCCTTTCTCCATTCATTATACACTATTTCAATACATCTTTAAAGTAATTTTTCTAAAAAATACATTGGATGACTGGATCCCAGTGCATCAATAATGAAATAAGTATCATATGAAATATATGTATATTTTATGGATTCAGATATATAAAAAGTAATTTCTTAATCAAATACCCTGAGAGTCAATTTACTATCATGAACATCAATTAAAACTCTAGTAGTTGTTAGAAATGGTCTTTATAGGATAATTGATATCTCAAAGTCCTCTTCTATATTTAAGATCACAAAATTTGCTGGAAATATAAAGTTATCAATCTTAACTAGCACGTTTTCTATTATTCCAACTAGAATTTTGATAAACCTATCGACTAATTGCAAAGTAATTCTAGTAGGATTAGCTTCTCCCCATCCTACCTTCTTGTAAATATCATATGAGATTAAATTAATGTTAGCTTCTAAATCACATATTTTTTCAATTGAAAGATCACATAAGTCACATGGAATAGTAAACTTACCTGAATCATTCAACTTTTGTGGCATTTTATTTTGTAGAATAATTGAGCATTTTTCGTTAAGTATTACCATGGCCATGTCTTTTAACTTCTTCTTGTCGGAGAGAATCTCCTTTAAGAACTTTACATAGCTAGACATCTGTTTTAAAGCTTCAACTAAAAGAATGTTAATATATAATTGTTTAAAAATATCCAAAAATTTACTAAATAACTTATCCAATTGTTGTTGCTTCAATCTCCCCATATATGAAATGTTGGGTTGTTCTCATTTGTTTGTGCTCTCTTCCTTGGTTCCACTTTCACTAGTTGTTTTCCACTCCTAAATGCTATAGTATTCACATGCTCTCTTGGGTTGGTCTTTGTGTTGCATGGCAAAGTTCCTTGGGCACGCTCGGAAATTAACTTTGTCAATTGTTCAATTTAGTTCTCTAGACTCTTGATGGAAGCACCCTAATGTTTGCTGTCGTCGTAAATTTAGTGAGTATATCCTCCATGTTTGGCCTAAGTTCGTTGGGTGGCAGAGCTGGTGGAGCATATTGTTTTTGATTATTTTGGTTGACTCACGAAAAATTAGGAATTCTAAGCATGATTATAATCATGATCTTTCCTTTAATTTTTGGATCGAGATCTTTTCTTTGATTTTAGGCATTAGCAGATATTGGAGTTAAAGTCTAAAATCAAAGAAAATATCATAATCCAAAAATAAAAGAAAAGATTATGATAATGATCATGCTTAGAATCTCCAATAGATGTTCCCCTCCTACACGTCCCACTTTCTCTCTCCTTAACGACCTTCGTCCTATTTTCTAGCTCACGCATCCGTCCTCTCTCCCCTGCGCACCACGCCACTTTTTCGCATTTTCCCTTCTCTCTCTTCCATCGACTCGATAAGACTTGTATAGCACGGACGCCATCTCGCACGCGGTACTCCAGGCTCCACGCTTCACTCCACTCTTGACGCGCATCACTTTTCCTCTCCCAGAGACCGCGCCTGCAAATTTTCAAAGAAGAGGACAAACGAAGAAGAGGGTTCCTGAATGTTAGAAACGGCGTTGTGGGTCTTTTTAATGTTAGAAACGGCGTCATTTCAGTCCTGGATTTAAAATCTTAATCCGGGTTTTGATTTTACGTCGTGCTTCTAGCTTTCCTGTTTTGAGCTTTGTGATTGGGCTAGATCAAAACAGAGCACATTCCAGGCCTAATTTTTTTTATTTTCTTTTTCTTCATGTTTTACTTTTTTTTTCCCTCTTTTTGTTTCCGTTTACCTGAAACCTTTCTCCTCCTCCTCCCTCAGATTTTCTTTTCCTTCTTCTTTTCAGTTTTGTCCTTTTTACTTTCGTTTTCCATTTTTTTTCTTTTTTTTTTTCCCTTCATTTCTTTGCTGTTGTTTTCTCTATCCCCTTTTTCCATTTCATCTTTATAAAAATTATGGAAAAGTGTAAGACAGATAACGCATATTATTATTATTAATTATAATAGTTACAACAATAATAATAATAATGACAATCCTTACAATCATAAATTAATTCATTCTTTTCAATTTTTCGTATCAAATATTATAATCAATTTTATCATTATTACAACTAATATATTTTATTTTTTTATATTTTTATTTTAACCTAACAAAATTAGCTGTTGATAGAACAGACTTCACCGTATGAATACCATCCTTGGAGTGAGAGCAAACGAGTTTATGAGACAGAAGAAAAACGAGGCTAATAGGTGTTCTAATGATACGTATAGGCATCAGTTGGGAGTGACAAATTCGTAATGAATTTGAGGCATACGGTCCAAATGCAGTTACTAAGTCCAGGCAGTAATTTCAAATTTTATAGTTGTGTTCTCACATATCAAATGAATAAGAAAAAGTTCTATTGTCTTTAGCTATAAAAAAAAAAAAAAACAATCTATTGCCAATAACTATGAAATAAATGATAGTTATTCCAAAAATTTTAAACTTCTATGAAATAATACAATATACTATTATATTACATAAACTTGCTGTGCCAAAAATTTAAATTAACCACATGCTCACCATGCTCTCTACTAACATTTAATTCACTAGGAAGCAAATCCAAACTCTCGGCCTGCACATCTAATACCATAAGAAATAAGCAATTATTTCACTAATCATCCCAGAATATTAAGCTTATAAGAAATGATCCAATACAGTATTTATATTTAATTATAGAGTTTACCGTGAATATGTTTGAAATATAAAATATAAGTTTAATACAAACAAAAGTAAATGATTCTATTTTATACGTTATCAAAACACCGTTCAAATTGGCACAACTGAAAGTAGGGAACGAATTGAGGCAACGGTAAAGAGACAGGTGTTAATTCCAAAAAGAAAAAAGAAATTCTCACTTTTCACACTAAATACAAATTGCCTTGTACAAATAAATGATAAAGTATAACCTATAAGACCCATGTCACTAATTACACACAAAAATATTCACTACAAGACCCTTAAAACCAACAAACAACAATATGAAAGAAGCCGCTCAGACCCCCCAAAAAAACAAAAAATTGGAAGGAGCCCGTTGTGGGCAGAGATCCAAATGCCTTTTCCTATAATTGCACATTATCACATGACTAGCGATAATGGCTTCTAAACAAATACCCCTTGCTGTAGTAACTTGGGGAAAAGAATGAAATGACCCAGACATGAATAATATGAACCTGAGTTGATAGAGGACAAAAAGATATTATACACATGGAGGATATGACTTATGATGTATGTATGCACAAGCTTCAGCGCAAAGAACTGCGCGAAGTTTACATGAGATTCAATAAGTCATGATTACGACCATCATTCTGAGCGTGGAAGCAAAAACCCAAAACCCGAGTTTTCACGAATTAATGGAGGAGGATCAACATCAGCAATGTCTACTTTCTGCATTGATTTGGAGATGTCATCCACTGAGAACGGGATGCTGCATTGATTATTTAGATTGTCAATGACACATTGTCAATTTGTTCTAGGTAGGCAATGAATTGAGTGTCTCAGATTTAAGGCCATTAACTGCCTTCACCCAAGTATCCTCAGACATTGAGACCATAAATTGTCTTCATGGATAAAGATGGAAAAAACAATGAACTTTGTAGAGAGATAGAGACGAGAACATCATACCTTGAGTCATCATCTAGAAGAAAAGAACTGCTGACAGCATTGTTGGAGTCCTCAGTCATTATAACTCTCATACTCGAAATAACCTACAGTATAAAAGGAGTTTGTGGAGCAGGAATAATCCAAAGTCTATAACACTATTTCAAAAAGAAATAATCCAAAGTCTAGTAGAAGTTAAAAACTTACATCTGAAGACACACTATGCGTGCCATATTTGTCATCCCAGTACATAGTACTGATCCGATACAGCTGTTGAATGCTGAGAACCTGAATATGAAAATAAACAAATAGAAAAAAACTTTTAGAGTTGAAAAATAACAACTATTATATAATAGATGAGGTACTTACTGGACAAAGTTCTTTTGTTATTTCGTGCAAGGTTTTCTTTGGTTTTTGATGTATGACCTGAGTGACAAATCCCAAGAAAGAAAACATGAGTGAGGAAATCTTGCAACGATTAAAAATATGTTCAAACAAACATCGAGCACTATAGGACTCACTAGGAATCCAACAGCCTGCCTGATATGCTTCAACTCATCCCAAGCAGAGCCTGCATACTGTACACAATGGACATTTAGGAAGAGTAGGAAAATAGTGCAGGAGAGAGTTAAAAAAAAAACCATTATTTGTGCTCACTTCTTCAGTTGCTGAGTAACACCACTGTTCTAATTCAGCTAAACCTGCTTTCAGATACTCCCCATTACTGAAAGAGCAACATTCACGCCGCAGAAGAAGACTGCAAAATGCCATCATAGATGCCATATAATTGTGATAGGATATCGAGCCTTGTTAATACACAAACATAAAACACATGGGACTAGAGAGAGAGGTGTTCTAATTTTCAGATAGAGTTACCTGTTAAAAAGCTGAACATTGATGAAGGAGAATATCTGAGTGAAGACTTTCCGGACTAAG